TGCTTTGCTCATCAAGCAGTAGTACATAATACCTTAAGAAGATAACTCTAGGGCAATTCATATTGTATTTACAATAAGCATAAAGTTAACAATACGACAATAAGCCCATCTAACCACTGCTCCCCTATATCTCTCGTACAAGTCTTATCATGCAATTAGCTACAATATAATTAGGTTTTTGCCCGTTTTCCTCTAATTAACCGGGCAACTCTCTTCTTCTTAATCAATGGAAATGCAAACCTTTTGCCTTATTTCAAAAAAAGAGCTATAATTTCTTCTGTTGTCATCCGTCCATGCACACATATATTGTGATAACATATAGCTACTTACCAGAAAGATCGGTCGAAGAGAGAGGCAGATTGAGTTGCCCATGGTGTTCGTGATGTTTCGTTTGGCTTCCGTTCTCTTAGAAATGCAAATCATCTGAGGTCAGATGCGTACGTAGGCAGCTGGGCACGCAAAAATCAGGGTTAACTTTGATCTTTCATGCATGTTAGCATCATTTAAATGGTGATGATGATGATTCGTTCGCCACATGCATTAATAATGCAGCTGAGAAGTACTCTGTCCTAGGTAAGCCTGCTATTTCTTTCATCCACTTGCTCACACTTGCAGGCAACTCAGATCTGTACGTAGAATGCTAACCTAGGATGCTTTTACATTGCGTCAGATCTGAATGCTTGCATGGATAGATGTAGTGCCTATTTTCACTTATGTTCAGATTAATTGATAAGCATTTTGGATTTACTCATCAAGTAGTAGTGCAGAATACCTTCAGAAGATAACATTAGGGGAATCCATATTGTATGTATAACAAGTATGGTTGGTTGTTCAAACTAGACCTAAGATAATCTTTAGTCTTCTCTTCACAGTTCGACAATGATTCAAATTGAACAATAAATTTTATGGTACAGAGGTAATAGCTACTAACCTGAAAGGTTGGCCAAGAGAAAGGCACATTCAGTTGCCCATCGTGTCGGTGACATTTTGTTTGGCTCCCACTCTCTAAGAAATAAAAATCAGGGTCAACTTTGATCTTTCATGCATGTTAGCATCATTTAATGGTGATGATGCTGATTCATTCGCCACTTGCATTAAGAATGCAGCTGAGAAGTACTCTGTCCTAGGCAGCCACTTGCAGGCAACTCAACCTGCCACAGGGATATTTTTCTGCTTTCCAGTTGTACATGCATGTGCTTTCCAGAGGCACGGACACGCTAAATCTAGGATACTTTTACAATGCATCAGATCTGAATGCTTGCATAGAGCGTGCATAGTGCTTATTTTTTTTATTTTTGTTTGCATTAATTGGCATGTTGACTTTACTCATGAAGCAGTAGTTGATGTGTTTGGGTCGTGACGGGTTCTTCTTGTCTGGCAACTGTCTCCGAGGCCTCTCGGACTTGGAGTGAGCACTTTGTTTGTTCCCTTCTCTATGTGTTGTCGGTGTGTGTTTTTCGTTTTATCTCTTCTCCCGTACCCCCTGTGAATCTGGTTCGGTTGAACCCATCTTGTAATAGGCTGCAAGGCCTTATTGGAAGGGATGCTCTCCACCTCCCGTGACTATTCGGAAGAAAATGGCTTTCCGTGTACAACAAATAATTGGGAAGAAAATGGCTTTTAGTGTAAAACAAATAATAGGCTCAAATTGATATAGGCCCAAACAAAAGTTAATTAATGAACACATAGAAATGTGAATTAGTTAGGAATTTGGACCAAATGATTTGTGATTATTTGAGCAATTGTAGCCAACCCACGAATCCCATGGGACATAATGTAGCTAGTTCGGAAGATTCCCTAATTTGAGGCACCTCCAATTATTCATTCATGGCTCAATTGGTATATCTGGTGTGGAAGCATCTTCCAGTGCATAGCTGGTTAATGTGAGGTCATGATTGGCTAGGTTGTTTTTTCAGGACCTAAATGAAGTTCAAGTCTTCTCAGATCTTGGCTTAGGCTAAGCGTCTTAAGTATATCTTCATATGAACGCAGCTGCCAGGTCCTCTGTCCAAGGTAATTTGTTATGTCTTTCAGCTATTTGCTAGCTCTTGCTGGCAACTCAACCTATCAAATGAATTCTTTTTGTTTCTTCCAGTGGTAAGGCATCTGCTTTCCAGATCAGTGGACATGCGAAATACGCTGCATCTCATCTGACTTCCGAAGGTGCTTACTTCATTAATATTTGTATCACATTAGAGCATTCTTGCTTTATTGGTGAAGTAAAGAAAAAGGCCTTTGGTGTAAGAAACTAACATTAGAGGAGACATATTATCAGTCCACCTTTTCTACAACACACTGGCGAAATATATGTACTTAACCAAAGATATAATCAAGATAATCAAAATGCGAAACAGAAGTGCTACTGAATTACAGAACTGCCAATGGACAGTATTTGCATAAAAAATAATTCCGTACAGCTAGCATCGTCATCGAGTAGACAGGCTGCTGGGGTGGAGCCACGGGGGGCGGCACTGATGAATGTCAACTTGTATCGTGTTTTACCAAATTACTACCGTACGATACACATATTGCCACACTTGGTTAATCTATGTCCGCTAACCAGACAACTGTGATCTTTCATCCATGTTAGCATCATTTAATGGTGATGATGCAGATTCGTTGGCCCTGGGAATCCGCGGTTTTATGCAGCTGAGAAGTACTCTGTCCTAGGTAGCCTCTTGTTCACACTTGCAGGCAACTCAACTTGCCAAAGGGATATTTTTCTGGTTTCCAGTTGTACATGCATGTGCTTTCCGGATCCGTATACACGCTAAACCTAGGAATAGGATGCTTGTACAATGCATCAGATCTGAATGCTTGCATAGAACGTGCATGGTGCTTATTTCACTTATGTTTGTATTAACCGGCAATCAGTAGTTTAACCGCTGTAAATCGGTGCTATTGTAATCAGCCAATGTATAGACACTGTGACAACATGCATACATCTACTTTTTTTTTCAACTGGGCTATCACCCCTTTCCATTACTTTGACATAACGGAAATATTACAGTTCCAGAACAAACGTTCAGTCTTTAACCAGAAAACAGAAAGAAACAAACAGCTTGTAAGGCAACCAACAACATGAGACAGAAAGGGGTAAAGCGATTTGGCGCACTATCAGGAAACCCACTGTAGATGCAAAAAGGACATCTACCACAGGGCGAAAACCTGATAGCACTACTAAACGCCCAACCCAAAAGTCTAGCCAAGATAAGCTACCAACGACCAAAAGGAACACCACACCCCAGCAGGCATCAGACCTCAGTGGGGTAGTGGGAACAAACCAACAAGCAGATATACATCAGAAGCCACCTATGATCGAAGACGCCCCTGACGACGATCTCCTTCAGGCAACAGCACCACTCGCTTCCGCTGGCAATTCGCAGCCTGGACCGGTTGGCCAAAGAAGTAGCCACCCGCATCACCCTCTGGATCCCAGCTTGAAACGTAGCCTTCTCCTCCATCTTCAGAAGTCCTATCCAGTAATTCATAAGCGTACATGCAGTAGACACAGCCTCCAACGGAGACCAGACTTTATGATCTTCGAAAGTAACTTTATTGCGAGTGCACCAAATCACCCAGCAAATAGCAGCCATAATCATCATATAGTATTTTTTGCCTCCCGGGAAAAAACAATAAAGCCAAGACCAAAATTGCCAAAGAAACCTGGGACAGTTCACTGTTCCCATCGCCATTCCCAGAACCTCCCAAGCCACACGGGCAAACGAACATCCAAAGAACAAATGATTAGCAGTTTCTATCTCCGAACAGAAGGAACACATAGGATTGCCTACATAGGATTGCCTCCCCAATTTCTTTTACGAAGATTTGCACGGGATGGTATAGCATCCTGGAACAATTGCCACATAAAGATCTTAATCTTAAGTGGAAGAGGAGCTTTCCACACAATTTTAAAATTTGGTCCATCAAGATCTCGTTCCAGCCACTTGTACACCTATTTGGTGGTGAATACCCCTTTGCTGGAAAGAATCCAAGATATATAGTCATGATGACCATTAGGACAAAAAGAGCGAGGGCATTGGACAATCTGCTGCCATTGCAGATTAAGATCCCCAAAGAGCCTTCTTCTAAATGACAGCTCGTAGCCATTCGAGATAAACTCAGACAAAGTGCAATTGGTGTTTTGGCAGATATCAAAAAGTTCAGGAAATAGATACTTGAAGGGCCTCTCCGAGGCCCAAGTATCATCCCACAACCTGACCAAGTCTCCTTTGTTGATATTAATTTTTCTGCCAGCCATATAAATATCTTTGACTTTCATAATCGATATCCAGCATGGAGAGTCAGATTGACACATAGGAACCGTAGCCACATCATGGCGACGAAAATACTTAGCTCGAATGATTTTTTGCCATAGACCATCTCCAGTTTCAAGTTTCCACCACCATTTAGTGAGGAGACTAAGGTTCTGTTTATGGAGGTCTTTCACCCCCAGTCCCCCTTTATCCTTCGCTCTACACACCCGAGACCATTTCACCATGTGGTAAGCACGTCTGTTCCGTTTCTTCCTCCAAAAGAAACGTCTACGATGACCATTCATCTTTTCAATACAAGTCTTGTTCAAAAGAAACAAAAATGATGTTCATACCATACGTGGCTCCACTGCTGAGGACATTAAGTAACATTAGGGACATTTGATCCTGAAGCAAGTTAGATTCTTTGACTCGAGGCACCGGTGCAGCACTGCACGTCATGCATGCATTCAGATCTGAAGATTCCGGTATTCCACCTTTGATCAACGTGCGTGCACGAGGCCTCCTTTCAACTACCCAAATATTAGGTTCATTTCTTACACGACCTCCAAGTCTCTTTTACAATGCCAAAGTTTGCCATCTTACAGCTCTCTCCATCATCTTCTTGATCCCATCTCTGTGTGCTTGGCTGATACACAATTCCCAACATCATCCAGCATCCATTAGTTGCTTGCGACACCACAAACACAAACCACACAAGGAGAGAGAGAAAGTGGGAGAGCAACAATGGCGGACTTCGCGCTTGGGTTAGCCAAGACGGCGGTGGAGGGGACCCTGAGCAGAGTCCAATCTGCGATCGATGAAGAGGACAAGCAAACGAAGGCGGCACAGCAGGACCTGGTGTTCATCACCGGGGAATTACAAATGATGCAATCCTTTCTTAACATCGCCAGTAAGGAGCGTGTCAGGAATGAAGTGGTGAGGACCTGGGTGCGGCAGCTCCGTAACCTGGCCTTTGATGTCGAAGACTGCGTCGAGTTCGTTATCCACCTAGATAATGACTCGACCTGGAGCTGGGTGTGGCGCCTGGTGCCGTCCTGCATGGCACCACCTCGGACTCGGGACCTGGACATGGCGGTCGCTGAGCTGAAGCAACTCAAGGCGAGGGTCGAGGAGGTAAGCCGGAGGAACGCCCGCTACAATCTAATAAGCGACTCCGGCTCCAATCCCATCTCACAGTCACCGGCAGAGCAGCTGGCCACCACCGGCCAATCAACAATTGATATCCTGATGGATCTATGGGAGGCCAATGCGAAGCAACCCGGTTTGTGCGACCTCCGAAAGTTGATTACCAAGGAGGGCAATGACCTTCAAGTAATTTCTTTGTGGGGAAGTGCAGGATCTGATATTGAGGTGACGGAGATCATCAATGAAGCTTATTGCGACCAAGAAATCTACCACATATTCAAAAGACGTGCCTGGGTAAAGGTGGTGTTTCCATTTAACCCTGACGAGTTCCTCAAGAACTTGCAGACCCAGTTACAAGCCAGCTCTCGGTCTTGTCAAGCGGTCGATTTCAAGGGCAAGACTTCAGAAGATGATCCCGTGAAGCAATTGACTGAGCAAAGATATTTGATCATCCTCCAAGGAATATCCAATGTTGTAGAGTGGGATATCATCAGAATGTACATGCCTGACAATAACAACGGCAGCCGGATCATCGTGTCCACCAAGCAGATAGGGGATGCAATTTTTTTCACGGGGGTGCGATACCGAGTATCAGTGCTCAAAGAGTTCACTGGTGGCCATTATCTTTGTGCATTTTATAAGAAGGTAACACCCTAAACCCCAGAGAACTTTAATTAGTATGTACTTCCTATCAAATTACTTCGACCTTCTAATTTTCTCGCTTCATTTCATATCACAACATTGTGGGTGTGAATCATATCGATGCCTGTGGCATTCTCCTAAAGATTTAAGAATTTTATTGCAAATAAATAGTGTAGATTAAAATCATTTCCTAAGACGCAAATGGTAGTGTCAGTTAATTAGCAGCATGCCCATGGTGTTACCTGCTCTTACTTCTTTTTTTTAGTTGTGTTACCTGCTCTTCCGACGTAGCCAGATCACATTGGCTAGTTTAATTAGTTGGTTATTCAAAATTATATTTCGTACACTTGCATTGCACGCATCCAGCTTGCAGTCTCTTTAGCACCTATCAAGAACTATATTATCAAACAGTACCGAGTTAAGTATATTAAGATGGAGGCCCACGTGTCACTCTCGCCCGGTGCGACTCGGATGGCACCTCGAGAACCTAGGGTCGCTACCCATCTACTCTCCTTCCTCCCCTCGCGACAACCAAAGGATGCCACCGGGCGAAAGCCGTGCGGCTGACGGCGTCTATGGGGTATATGGCTGCAGCACTATATGTTCTCGGGAATAGGATGCAAGCGATTCGCAGGTACGGTTGTGGCAGGCCAGTCTACACTCGGCGTCAGTGGCCTGTCTGTCTGTATCGATGAGGACACTGGCGGTCGGCGGTGCTCAGCGGGGTGGGGGCCAGTGGATAGGGGCATAACATCTTCGTGTGCTGTAGGCGGCGAATCCCTGGCGGCGACTCATGTTGTGCGGTGTTGGTCGCCTCCCAGTGAGGCAACCATGATGGTACAGTTGCCAGCACTGGTGGGCGGCAAATTTGGGCCTTCGCAGATCTTGCTACAGTGGCGCCGATGTGACAACAACGTCAATGGCTCGAATCAATGCAACGGCCCTGTTTGGATACTCTAGCTGAGTTAGAGGTTAGAGTTAGATTCTAACCCTGAACCAACCTTGAACTAACTCTAACCAAAGAGGAGTTTGGATGACAGGGTTAGATTGACAATAAATGCTCTTTCTCAATCATTTAACTACTTTGGACCCTATTTCCTGCCGGATTTGGCGAAGCGAACCCTGACCGAGAGCCGCGCTGGCCGAGGCAGACGGGGACGCGCCCGGCAAAGGAGCCGCACTGGCCTCTCATGCAGCCCGCCGGTCGAATCCACCGTCCCTGCGCAAGGAGCCGCGCTAGCCGAGGCCGACGGGGACGGGCCGCGCAAGGAGTCATGACTGCTTACCGGCGGGCAGACGGGTCGCGGGAAGACGAGGGGGTTGGAATGGGAGGATAGGGGTGGGGATGCTTACCGGCGGGCGGACGGATCGCGGGGAGACGAGGGGGTTAGAACGAGAGGATAGGGCGGGGTTGCTTACCGACGGCGGACGGGAGTGCGGATACGACGAGGCGCCTTCACGGGCGGTGCGAGAGGGAGGGAGGGAGACGACGAGAAGCTTCGAGGAAGTGGGGAGGGATCTGCCGCGGGGAGAGCCTGAGAAAAAGATGTTTTTTTAGTGGTTTTGAGGAGAACTAACCCAAATAAGCACCTCTTAGGTGGGTTAGATTTTTTGAGTGGGTTAGATGACTAACCCCCTGTTTGAATACTTTTGGGTTAGTTGGGTCCAAATTAACCCAAACTAACTCTAACCTATAGATCCAAACATATAGATCCAAAGAGGGCCAACGATGGAGTGCGGGTTGGGACACTATGGCTGACCGAGTATAGGTGCCATCGTTGCCATCAGTCTCTGCAACACTGGCTCCGGAGAACGTGCGCGCAAGCTGTTGAACATGTCGATGAGTTCGGCTCTCCACTTATGCGGCAGTTCGATCGTGATTCAATTCATGGCCTTGAGTGCATGGTAATGTTCACGCCATGGATAAGCGGGCGGGTGTCTCCGAGCGTGTATGCCATGGAATGGCTTAGATTTCAATTTCCCAGGAACATGGTGTGTGGCTGCACCTCTCCATGCAGCAATGTCTTCTTCAGCAAGTTGCGGTGGAAACACTTGATGTGTTCGGTTTGGTGGTGCTATCGTGAGTACCAGGTCTTCGGGGTGAAAACCCAATGTACGGTCTTTGTTGGTTGCACTAGGCAATGACGTTTTAACACACATTTTCTTTGTTGAAGGCATTGCTTTTGAAATTTCTTTTTTTTTTGAGAGTACGCCACAGACGTACCTTACTTTTATAGAAGGCTTTTGAGATTTCTCAGATCTTACCTTTGGCGGTTGGATCCCAAGTCAGCGGCACTTGCACACAATTTTCCCATTATGAAGGCATTGCTTTCGAAGAACCTCATCAAGCCTTATGTGTGGTCAAGGACGGTGGATGTTGTGCTATTTTTTTACTTGTTGCGTATCGTTCGTCGCACTAGCTCTTTTTTTCCTTGATATTTCTTCTTTTCCTTGGTTGTGTGGATTGCCAATGTCTCGACAAGGTCCTTTGATATTGTGCCGTTGCAGGGTTTGTGTGTAACTGGTAACATCTTGATATTAATACATTATCCTTTGTTGAATAAACAAATATTAATATGAATGTATGCATGCATAAAGAGATCAACAAAAATAGTGAATGATAACGTAATTCAAACTCATACACTGGCGTTGCCCGCATGCATGAAGGTCTTCCTCTTCGCGGCCCACACCCCATAATTACTGAGAATGTTAAAGAGAATTATTGTAAACCTACACAGATAGATAAAGTATTTCTAGACTTGGGCTGGTCATAGCGGGAAGTATCATATAATAGCATCATGCATATGATTCTATATACATCCTGCATACTATCATAGGTTGGTGTTTTAGAATATGACATTTATTGCTTTGTATGAATCATAATAGCATCTCATTTATTATGGTACAATATCGTGATGTGATACTACTACTAGTAACCTCTCTCTCCTCAACTAATACTATGACATGTCAACAATATGCCTAGTTGACATTGTATGAGGCTACATGATACTATGTTATGATACTCCACTATAAGAGGTTTAGGTATACAAGCCGACTCAGTCTAGCTAGCCAGCCTGTACCGACGAATAAGCAAAATTAATACTACTCGGAAACTAACACAAGTTTGGATTAGTTTCTAACATCGCATCCATGATTACTCTCGTTCTTCCAGTATTTCAACACCAATCATAACAAGAAAAGAACATAGTTCAATTACAGAAAAAGAAAGAGAAATGGGACAATGGTTTGCTAATTCATGCAACCAGATGTTCTTGGGTGTTGCAATACCAATCACCACGATCCTATTAATATATTTTTTCTTGAGAAGTACTTCAATTAACAATTTCCATTATTACCTGCAGGATTCTAGGCATCGGCATCGAAATGTCATGGGCGACCTCATTCGGCTATTGCGGCGTCCTGGTGTGATATCTATTTGGGGGACGGGTGATGACAAATTAACTCTTGTCACAGAACTGTTCAACTTCATATCGAATAAGAATATGTCGCAATGGTTTCATGCAAAAGATATAAGGTACGGATGGGTTGATGTGGCCCATCCATTCAAATGGAGCGACTTCCGCAAGAGCTTGATGGAGTCGTTTCTTAAGGATGATCCTGCAAACGGTCATGTATACTACCGCCAGTGCCTGGTCGTTATTCACGGTGTGCAGTCCACCGAGGAGTGGCAGGACATAAAAAGTGGACTCGCATCGGAACATATCATGGGTTATATCATTGTCATCACAAATCACGAAACTGTGGCCACAAGTTGTGTACGTCATGACTATCATGCCCTCAACATCAACGACGTGGCCCTTCATCCTTCCATGCAGGTATGCTTACTCGAATAAGCTTAATTATCCTGTACTTTATCCATGTAGTCTGCCAGTCAGTTTAACTTTTGTATTTTTATTTTAGATAGATAATTAAATCACTTGTGGGCCAGTGTTTGACGTTCTCATTGTCAAGTTTGTGTGGTCTTATATTATATATCATCTAAAAACCTTTACAGTACCATCCGAGAAGTTTGTAGTGGTGCCTGTTCTTGAATGCTAGATTTAACATTAGTCTAGCATTTGCACATGCTACTTTTCAATAATCGATACTATTATATGCCAAAATAGGAGCTACACGGAACCTGATTGACAAACTCTTAATTTTGGACAATAGAATAGAAATCCTCAAGGTATCTATAAGCACCCTTAAGACATTATTCTATATACCAGTTTCCTTATTCTATACATATATCGACCTGTCTAACTATGAGAAAAGAACCACCGAGCTCACTGACCCGAATCAAAAACAGACAAATAATTAAAAGGGAAAAACCAATGTCCCCACGTTTGTGCCCACTCCCATTCCGCATGATATCGCTCCCCTCCCCCACCTTCCTCCATCGGTCGTGCCCCGCCAATTGATACACCGTTCGCTCCCTTACCCGGCCACCTACCCTCGCCGGCATTCCACCTCCCCGCGCCGCCCCAGCACCTCCCGTCCCGCCACACTCTGCAATCGTCGCCCAATGCCACTGCAACGCCGGATCGGGCCATCGTGCCCCGTCCCCTCCACGACGGCCCCGCGCCGGGCCTCTCATGCTCCTCTACCCATGCACACCTATCAAAGGTGTCACCTTGCGCGCATGAGAAAGACAACATCTCCTCTACTCTACGGTAGATCCTCCATCGGGAAGGGCCCATTCCACACATGTGTGCTCCGGTGATCCATGGCTTATTGTTGCACCTTTGTGCGGCTCCTCCATCCATGCCCACATAAGTAACTGTGTACGCCGACAGCGGCCTCATCTCTCGCCTCACCTAGCGCCACAACAGCTGGTCCCACATCACCGGTGTCACTGGGACTGCCCCCTCTTGCACCTCCGCACCTGGCAGGAGCAGCATGTGCCTCCCTATGCAATGTAGTCCATTGGGCGTGCGTGCCCTCTCGAGGTGCAGTGCACGCATGTGTGCGTTCAATACATTTGCGACATGCATGCAGTCCAGCACTCATGGGGGCAGGAAGGCGTGTTGTTCTACCAGTGTGGAGTGCAGTCCGATTGAAAGGAGCTTGTCACGCGACAGATGCATGCAGTTCTGCCAAACGCGGCATGCAGTACTATCCATTTAAATAAATGTTTTCAAATTTTCCTTTCTTGTTTTTGTAAGTTACTCAAAAGTGTAGTCTTTCTTGAGAAAAATTGAAGCCCATATTGCAAAACAAATAAGAACTCTCTGTTTCAAAAAATTCCACTCTGAGCAACTTGGCAGTTCACTTCATTTAAAAAATCAACTTTTGCATTTCACGAGTAATAAACTGTTGAGAGTTGTTTGAGAAAGGTAAGGCGCTCGTGAAGTTCATATTGCCGCTTTGGGAATTGTGCAGTTCACTCGCCTTATAAAGATAGTTCTAAATCATTAATAAAAAATTGTCCCTCACCATTCTTCTCTTGGCAGTTTGCTATGTTGCCATGTGCAGCAAAGAAAACAATGTAAAAAAATTGAATGCAATCCACTTACCACGTCTCCGTAGTCCAGAACTTGTTAACAAAGAAATGTTGGGAAAAAAGTCATGCAGCTCATTTTGATTTGTGTCACGGTTCACTTCCCCCATGTGTGAACTGCAGTCCACTTCCTCGCATGAGGAAATTTTCATGCAGTTCACTTGTCATGCGAAAAAAGTACTATTTCATATCAGTGGACTGCACTTAGTCGATTGCTACCAGCCGCCACAATTCTTTTGTCTATCTAATGCAGTTCACCTATTGATTTTGGTTCCAGTAAAAAATCGATATCCATTTTTATGTAATTTCAAAACAGCTCTTAAACCATAAGAAATTAGAGATAATAGTTCGTATAAAGGTTTTACCACGTCAATAGCTTTCCAATGTCATATCATTTTGCATCATTCTAAGAAGCGGTTTAAATATTCCAAAAAATACAGTCTATGTCACTCGATGGGTACCACACCGTATGCCAAATTAACCTTAAACTATAAAGAATCTATAAAGTGTTTACGTGGAAAAGTTTTGTCTAATCCATAGCCTTCCAATGGTGGATCATACGCCTCATTCCGACACATAATTCAAACAATGTGTTGAAAATAGTACCAAAAAATCACGTGTAGTTCTCTCTGTTGATATTGTAGTTTGATTGCCTGGCGAATGCAGTTCACTTAGGATATAAGAAAAAAATAAAAAAAGGTAACTGTAGGCTCATTTTTTTCAAAACATCTCTTAAATCATAAGGAATTAGGAAGAGTGTTCTACAAGAAAAAAATCGCCTCGATGATAGCTTTTCAATGCCATGTCATTTACATCATTTTGATGAGTGGTTTGAAAAAATTCATAAAAATATGCTCGACGCTAGTAGTCGTGGACCGCACCACTTTCGAAACTTCTCTTAAACCATAACCAATCTCAAAAAGTGATCTACTTGAAAAAGTTTCACCTAATCTATAGATTTCCAAGGCTATATCACAGGTCTCGTCAATTGCTAATTTGCTGCATTTTTAAAAAAATTACTATATTGTGTATACTATGTTACTATATTTTGAAAAATAATAAGTGTTAGTGTAGCATAAAAATCAATAACTGCATCTGGCGAAACGTTTAACTTTTCATTTTTGTTGATGGTTTTTTGTGCTTTTTGTTGGAACGAGGCATGTAATATAGTGGACCAGGGGATCACTTCACACATTGAATATTTTCACAGAGTCCGCATGGTTTAAGAGCATATTCGTAAAAAAATCATGTTTTCAAATTAAAAAATGTGAATTGGATTTTTATATCATTTTTCAAAATGTTGGTCAGAACGGCCCAAATAAGCTGGCATTGGAATGCTGCTGCAAATCCAATCCTCTTACATGTAGAAAGCTTTTTCAAATTTTGGCCGAAACATATGTTTGCTCTAGTAATGTTTTGTTGGAATGCAGCAAATGATATATAGTTGAAAATGTATGGATAATGCAAACTTCATGTATATATTTTTTCTTCTAGATTCCTTATGGTATAAATTCAAATTTGAATACATCAAAACCTTTTTTTCGAATGCCAATTTTATAAAAGTTTCTTGAAATGGCGCAAATGATATAACCTTGAAAAGCTATCGAAAATGTGAAACTTTTTCATGGCGAATGTTTTCTTAATTCACAAATGTTTAAGAGTAATTTTGAATATGGTGAGATCGGTCGTTCTGTTTTTCCGTCCCAAAACATAGTATTCGAACCGAGTTGTGTGAATGATTGAACTGAGTGTCCGAACTTCACTCTGTTACTTCGGTGTTATTTTTGCATGTAATCGCCAACCGTTTGTCAGAACTGAGCAAATGATATACCGTTGGAAAGTTGTTGAAGAGGTATAAATTTTTCGTATTGAACATTTTTTCCAAATTCATCATGTTTGAAGAGCCGATTTGAATATGGTGAAATTGTAACTAATGATGTGCTTCAAACCTTTTAACCATTTATTGGAATGGATCATATAATATACCATTGGGAAGTTGTTGTGTAGTAGAAACGTTTTCATGATGAATATTTTTTCGAATTCATCAAGGTTTAGGAGCAGATTTAAAAACACCAAAAATAGCATCCATTTTTTGAACTACCAAATGAAAAGTTAACTTCTATGACCAGATTATTTGAACTACCCCTAGGACACGCACGTGAACTAATAGAAGTGAACACTTTTAGGTTTTTACTTTTTTCTTAATTTTTTCCGCATCTGAACTACCGTTGTAATCATCTTTGAAATTTTAGGTTTTTATCTCCTTGAACTTGCCGAGACAAATGTGCTGAATATTTGAACTTCCAGATTGTATGCCAAAGAACTTTTCTTGAATTTTTTGTGTGAAAACGTCTGAGTTTTTATGTGAATTTACAGTCGTGGAGGTTTGAATTTTTATGTCTTCTAACATGAACTCCCCAATGACCGCGATGTCTATCCTGGGGCGTTTTTCATTAAAAAGATTATAATTTTTCTATGCACTCAATGGTATGTGAACCCCCTCTAACCTACACTATTAGTTAAAAGCCTAGCAGCAGTGCGGGTTTTGGGTGTATAAGTAGCATGGGTGCCCGTGCTACTGATACGGCGCCACTACTATCAACTTAGTAGTAGCGCGGGTTTATACCCCTCGCTACTACTATGGCATGTGTCGGGGGGCACGGTAGAGACATAGTAGTAGCGAGGGTTAAAAATCCGCACTACTGCTAATTAGCAGTAGCGTTTCTTTTTGTGGCGCGCTGCTGCTAAGATTCTGTGTATAAGATTTTTCCTAGTAGTGCTAATACACGAACTTTCTCAATGACGGTCTTTGAACTCTTGTTTTCATTTTTTTATTGTGTTTTTATTGTTTTCTGTGTTTGAATCCCTAGAACGGCGACATATGAACTCCCCTAAATTGAGAGTATGTACTTTAGTAGTATTCCTTTAATGTAATATTTAGTATATGGAGATTATTTTGTGCACCTTCGAACTTTTGTATGTTTCACGTCCAAACTTGCTAGGGTTTCATGTATAAACTTCTAGACATTTTTGCGCCATGAATCCCCAGACCTTTCTCTCATTGAAATCCCACATGGCCCTTTCACTTTGAAACTATTCTTTTTCTTAACTTCTCTAGGTGATATCCTCGAACTTGAACACTTCTCAAACGTGAACTATAACTTCTCTCATATATTTTTTGATCTTTTGGTTCATTTTTTTGAACTTCCTAACTACAAATGCAATGCACACCTGGGCACTGGACGTACACATCTACATGAAACTACACATCATATCACCGAATACAAAAAAATTAACACAACACCACATGAAGATGAACCACACAGTACAAAAATGAGAGTTGACCTAGGCAGGAGGCAACCAGGTGGATGACAGCAACCCCGTGGACCTAGGTAGGAGGCGGTTGGATCTGGACGTGTTATGTGCACCGCCTCTCAGTGGGAGGCACGATTGAGGAAACGAACCGGTGACTGCCTTATCCAGGTGCAGCGCCGGAGACAGTCGGAGGAGGCGGAGGGGGCGGGGCTTGGCGATGTCATGTAGTGGTCTCTCGGTGGTGCCGACCCGTGATGATGCGGGGCCCGCCGATGGCGCGAGGCAGGGGGCCCCACAGTGGTTGTGGGTGTGCTCGGTGGTGGCGGGCTGGATGGTTACAGGATGTCGTGCGGGGCGTGTTGCGGGATGGGCGGTGATGCCATGGTTAGGGGTGCCGGCAGCCGCGATAGCACTTCACCGGGGAGGGTCGCATGGGATGGGATCGGGGGGTGTGCGACGGCGT